GGACGTAATTTAATCAACGGGACACTAGGACGGGAAGGTACGATTGGACAGGCTGTCGCTTCTCTTTCACAATCGGAGCACAATGGTGCATTCGTGTGAGAATTTTTAGCGCACTGTGGGACCGAACTCGATTTTCTCTAAGAATTTGTAGAGGAAGGATGACTCGAAATAAAGTAGTCAATGTATAATTAATGATCACGCGACTTGTTATTCATGAATGCATAATGTCAGCTTTCTAGTGACATTTCTGTCACTTCATTTAAATTGGCTCTGATTCTACAGCCTTGTCGTTTGACACTATGCATTTCGAGATTTGTGATATTTAAAGTTTTGCGTTATTGTTAATGTCGTAATCCATCCAGGACAGTTATGATTAATGTAAGGAATCATGCAAAGCCAGTTCCTGTGAAACAAAATGCTTTTATTAATAATATATAATATAATTAAATTCAATAATAATATAATTTATATATATGCCTAATTTATGCCTAATTTGCAACTTTTTATTAGATGTTTGTAATTTATTAATGTCTTAATTTTGTTTCGTTTAATTTGCAGAAATAAGACAAGATGTACAATGGCATTGGACTTCAGACTCCACGCGGTTCTGGAACTAACGGACATGTTCAGAGAAATTGGGCAATTGTGCGTAAAAACAAAGACAAAGTTACTTACAAGACGGAAGATGCAAAACTCGATCAGTTGAATAAGCAGCCGAATAAAGAAATTCTAGACCATGTCAGAAAGAGGAAAGTTGAAGTCAAGTGCGCCGAGCTGGCTGACATTTTGGAAGATCAAGGGTAAATATATATAAATTGTATTCTTCATTTTATATAATCTCAACATTTCTAACATTAAAAACTTAAATCTATAAGTTACATTGACATTTTGTGTTATTTTAACAACTTTTTAATTTTTTTTACATAATTAATTTTTTTTACATAATTATATTAATATTGAAAATTTTTTTAACAGTCAATAATGTCAGTAATAAAACTTTTTACCAGAGAAAGAAGCAGTTGTAAATAAATATGTTATTTTCAAACTATGCATTGAAGCCAAAGATAGAGCAAAGCAAATCCTATTATACTTTACAATCTAATTTAAATCTGAAAGAAGAGAAGCTGCTTGACAATAGTAATCCTTTATTGAGATTTTAATTATTCAGTACAATATTTTTACAAAATAGAGAATGAATGTAAAATATGTATGTTTATGCAAAAAATAAATTATACACATAATATGTACATATGTGATGTGGGTCACATAAAATTGAAATTTTGTTGTCAGATCATAGTCAAAAGTTAATGCATTTGAATGTGCAATAGATGTAGTTATGAATATAATCTTATCTAATCTTCTTTGATATAATTTACAGATTTACGAGCGAGGAGATAAACAACAAGGTAGAATCCTATAGATCACTATTAATGGGGAGTGATATCAAATCATCCACACCACAGGATGAATTCGGCCGTGTTAAGTAAGTTGTTATTTATTATTTAATATCTTTCTATTTTCTTTGTTAAATTCTCGAAAATTTAACAAACTTGTAAAATTGAAATTGAAATTATACAAAATACAATATAATAACACTTAGAATAAATAAATTAATTAAAGATTGGATAAATTAATAAAATTAATATAATCAAAAGTTAATAATTAAATAAAGATGAAATAAATTAATTAAATTAAAAACAGAAAATTCTCCGTATAAATTAGATAGAAACAATATAATGTACAATTACTTTAAATATATAAAGATGTAATTTTTTAATTTAATAAACTTTTTTAAATGAATTAAATAATACATAAAGTTTAATAATAGATGTAATAGTTTGATTTATAATTGAGAAAAAAATTGACTAATAAAATACGTTATTTATGAAAATGCACGGAATTTTCTATAGAAAGAGAATTTTTCTCTTTTTTTTTATTTATCTTGACTGTCAGACAAATCCAGGATAATCTTGACGGCGCGGATGCTATATGAAACATTATATATGATATTAAGAGTGTCTGAGCTTCCCGAGATCTTAGGAATATATTTTCTTTGCGGCTTTATTTGATCTTGCGCTAAGGCAAAGCTTTCGCAAACGCAATATCGGATCGCGAAAAAATGTTTTACGATAAATCTATATATATATCTACTCTTTGTAAAAATCATTCTTGGAGAAATCCGTAAAATGTACATCTGAGACATTCCTGTTATTTTCGTAAATGCAATTTGAATTTGCCGAGTGATTTTGCATATTACATTATATTATTATCAATTATAATTTTGTTTACATTATATATAATTTGCAAATTAAAAATAAAATTAATAATATATTCAACACAAAGAATAGATAAGGGGCCACATGTTTAGGACTGTAGAAAAAAATTTGATGTGTATATGAATACAAAGCCCCATTTAAAAATTTATTTGTAATATTCAGGAAAAAATTAAAAATTAAAATTAAAAAAAAAAATTAATAGGGAAGTAAAATAATTAAGAAGTAAATATATTCAAAATTAAATAAATTTTTCATTTCTTTTGTACGTCCACATTTTCTCAAAATATCTCATTGTCCTTATCGAAAATATTAATTAAAAGTAGAAAAAAACAGAAATAATATTATTGATTTACAATTATTAAATTCATGATATTAATTAATTGTTAATTCAGATACTAATCCTTTTTCAAATTATAATTAAATTATTTTTATATATGTGTATATATATTACGTTGTCTATATATTTTGCATGTTTTTTTGTAAGAAGATAGAATCGAATTTGCTTACAGGAAAGATTCGTAGCAACTTTTTTACGCTTGATACGAGTCATGTCTATCGATTAGTATGTTAATTTGAATGCTGCTTTAATTTTAAAGCTCTTTCACGCAGACTGATAAATCGGGAAATGCGAGTGTGAGAGAATTTTCAGAGTTTTATCTTAAATGACACATAATTGAAATATCGCGAAAGGGCGGGGACGCGTTGCATTCCTGGCCAGGGTTGATCGGGGGTGGGTGTATTCGCGATATCGACGTACCTCATAGCGCCGGCGCCAGGAGGGAGAGATGGCATCGAGAGCGAGGGTATCCATGAAGGTGGAGAAGGATGAGAAGAGGGAGCCGGGAGGGGATTCTCGCAGCATCTCTCCCTTGGCCGCCGACTTCTCCTCAGTGCGAGGATGGACTGACGCACCCAGCGGACGCGTCGTCCTGGTGTGTCGTCGACGGGTGGTGCATCGAGAGCCAGAGTTAATTCGGGGGTGACACCGGGTGACACCCCATCAAGGAAGAAACATGTGACGCGCGACGTGATTCGCGAACAAATCACAAAAGTCTTCCATTAGAGTTTAATTAATAGCTATTCCGCTCTTCCAGGTCTATATCTAGCGCAAGCTAAGTCTCGAATTAGAATATATATGTATATTTCGCGATAGGTGATAGAGTTTAAGTCTAGCTTCTTAATGTCAACGGGAACAAATGGCCGTTTCATTTCGTACATGAAGAGGATATCGCATACAGTGGAAGTTATAATTGAACGAGGCAATTTGTGAGAAAAATATCAGCTATCAAATGATCAGTGAGTGAGAAGAAATCATATATTTCGTCGAAAAACGAACTGGAATACAGATACATGTGTGGAAAATATCGGGTATATTAAGTATTAGTCTTGAGTGAGAAGAAAGCTGCAGAAAAATTATATTGGCCATCGCAGTAAATTGTAATGCAAATATACGTGGAAAATATGAATTATTGTAAATGTGTCATTTTTAAATATTAAGTGTTTTTCGCAAAGAAAATTATTAAGTAAACGAGTTAAATTGAGAAGAAAGATAAACATTTACATATATATAAGTATAAGTATAATTCTGGAATATAAATTTTTACTATGTACAACGAGATATATATGGAATAGAAGTAATCTAATCATTTTGCTTGATAAAAAAAGAAGAGAAAGATTCTTGAAAAGAAGAGAAAATTAAAAACATAAGGAAAATTTATCAAGAAAAAAGAAGATGAAAGTTGAAATTTACCAACATTTCACTTGAGAAGGAATTCTTGCTTGTTGTATAAGAATTGTATGAAGAATATCACGTCTTCCATTCGTAATTACTAATAAATTTTTATTTCTTCAAGAACATGAAAAAGAGGGGGTGCAGACAGAGATTATTAAATCCTCCTCGTCTCCCAGTCTCTTCTTCACTTGGAAGAGATTCGAAAAACATTTTCTACGAAATCCATGTGTCTCCAAGTCGACGATTGACGTCTCGACGGTACATCGCTAAGGGATACATCCTGCTTCATTCTGACAGAGAATAAGCACGACGATGATGATGTGCCTGTGATTTGAAGTCTTCCTGAAATCTTAAAATGCATAGAGCAACTTTACCGATACAAATATACATATTGGAAAAGTATATTCTTCCACAATATCATATAGAATAATAAGAAGGTTTTGCAAATAATAAGAACAATAATAAAATAATGCATCATATATAATATAATATATAAATAATCCTGTAAGTAATATTATTATTTTTCTGACAAAAGAAAGGGAACATAACATCAGTAGAAACCATCAACGCACAATGAAGATCATTGGAATATTGACATTTTGGAATATAACAACGTAAGAAAAGGGAGGAACTTGCCTTTCATCGTCGCCGGATGATTGTTCTAGCTAGAAAAGCCGGGATAGATACAAGAGCGGATACAAAAGGCGCGGCTGGAGTGGGAGAGGGTTATTACCTTCGTCCGTAATCTTCTCCCTTCCACCCCCTCCAGTTCTCTCGTAAAGGGATTGAGCTATTTGCGCAACGTGGGCCAACCGACGGAGCTTCTTAAGCTTCTCTTCAATTAGCAGCGTAATTATCTTAACAAGATAATTCACTATCAAATTTCTCTTATTTTAGAAATATATAAGATATATTCATCAAATCATTAAGATACCTGAGAAGATAACTACCTTAATTATTAGAATTGATCCTTGAACAGGATTCATATAGAAACCTGAAGAGAAGTTGCAGAATTATCTGTAACAAGTCTGTATAAATTATCTGATGATACACTACATCATTGAAGGAATCTTAGAAAGAATCATGAAAGAGCTGAAATTGGCATCTACGGTTCTCAATAATATTGATATTAGGATGATAAGTAGAGGATCTTTGAAGGCTTGAAGTGATCACCAAAGAAGAAGCAACGCTAAATTTCTCGAGGACGAGATGGGTCTCAGAGAGGATGATAAGTAGAGGATCTTTAGAAGCTTGAAGTGATCATCAAAGAAGAAGCAATTGTAAATTTCTCCAGGAAGAATTCCTCGAGGACGAGATGGGTCTCGGAGAGGATGATAAGTAGAGGATCTTTGGAAGCTTGAAGTGATCACCAAAGAAGAAGCAACGCTAAATTTCTCCAGGAAGAGTTTCTCGAGGACGAGGAGATGAATCCCGGAGAGGAGTGAATTCTCGATTCCCTCCGAGTCATCGAGGAATGACGATGTCGGCGACGGTGTCACCGGCGAAACCCGCGCGCGGACGCGGCCCGGCTGACGGCCGGGCGTTCTTCGAGACGCTCTGGCGCGGCGGCAACTTCCTGTTGGACCGGCAAAAGGTGTTGAAGCGCTCACGCAAACGCAAGTTGCATCACGCGGCGGCCAATAACGGGAGGAGGAAACACCAGCAGCAGCAGCAGCAATTGCTGCAGCTGCAGCGTCAGCACTGCTGCTGCTGCCAGCGCATTCAGCTGCACCTGCTCGCCGGACGGCGAAGCAACGTGCGCTCCGTCGTCAGGTGAATCCCCTTTGTCGGTTTCCGGCCCAGTTCTCAACGACAATATCATTTATATTCTTTCTTATCTTGTTGATTCTTCATCGCGATTAACGACGTATACAGGGTGTATCTTAAAAAGCTCCCACCAAGCAAATAGCGTTATTCCTGATTAAAAACCGAGTCGAAAAGTCCTGAATTATTTTTTTTCCAAAATTCATTAAATAATTAATCAGATTTAAGTATTAAAAAGATGTCTGAAAAGATGAATTGTTGAATGATGAACAGTTTATTTTTTTGCTTATCCAAATCTTCATATGTTATTCCTGATTAAAAACCGAGTCGAAAAGTCGTGAACCATTTTTTTTCATAACGCTTAATAAAGCAGTAATTAATGAGTAAAGTCGCGCAATAAAAAGACAAACTTCCTTGTTATCAACGTGAAGATTTGGATAAGCAAAAAAATAAATTGTTTTGTGTTAATTTTTAAACAATTCATCTGTTCAGAAATCTTTTTAATACTTAAATCTGATTAATTATTTAATGAATCTTGGAAAAAAATAGTTCAAGATTTTTCGACTCGGTTTTTAATCAGGAATAACGCTATTTGCTTAGTGAGCTTTTTAAGATATACCCTGTATAATAAGGCGATAAGAAGATGTTTAAAACCTTTGTCTTCTATCAATTATTTATAGCAATTTATACATGAAAGATAGTAAAATAAGGAATAAGATTTCTGCTCGTTTTTTAATTGTATTGAAAATGTAGATAAAAGAGATATATATTTTTTTTCAGATATATATATATATATATATATATATATATATATATATATATATATATAAGAATCACTTTAATAGTTCATGGTATGGTCAGAAAACTTGATCTACAGTCAATCGGTAGACATTATGTCTAACATCATTAAATTATCGCTTTTTATTTGTATATAAATTTGATGAGCTAATTGTATCTTGTTAAAAGTATTTCGATAAAAATTCTTTCAGTATCAAAAATATCGCTTTGGAGGATAAATAATTTTATATCTAGGGCGGGGGGAAAGAAATATATATAACGAGCTCATAATGGACTATTAGGATGTCTTGAAATTTGCTTTAATGGAATTCAAAAATTTTAGTGTCATAAAAATGTAGAATTCTCAAAATAATAATAATATAATTAATAATATAAAATAATATAAATATATAATATAAAAAAATAATATAAGAAAATAATTTTATATTATTATGTAAAAAAATAAATAAATAATTATATATATAATTATTTATTCATTTTTTTATATATATTTATTTTTTTTATATATTTATTTTTTTACATAATAATATAAAATTATTTATATATTTATTTTATATAAAATTATACATATGATTTTATATATATATATATATATATATGTAATCATGTATATAATTTTATATAAAATAAATATATAAATAATTTTATATATATTACGTTAAAAAATAAAATATGAATTATAATTACAATAATAAATATTATAATAATAAATAAATAATTATAAAAATAAATAAAATAATTATAATTACATCATAATTTGAATATAATTTATATACTATTATATTCTGTCCTATACAGCATATGATTCTTTTTGATGTACTCTTTGTACGTTGGCCGTTTGACTTCGGCGCCGGGTTAGATCGACAGTGATTCCGTTGTACGGCGCAAAGGGGATGCCAGAAAAGAGAACAGCTGGATTGTATTGATCCATCGTGTTCCATGCGTGCAGGCGCGCAGGGGTGGCTCTCGCCCCCTCCCTCCCGATTGAACCCCGGTTCGCCGCTTTTCACCTCCGCAGGAAAAGTGGAGAGAGAAAGAGAGAGGGCTACTTTGCCTGGCTTGCCATTCTAATATCGTCCTGTAGCGCGTTATGTCATCAGCGTCGCGACGACCGCTTTAAAGACGACGCTGCATCGTTCTTTGCATATACCGGGTGTCCCCCGCGAGGCCGAAGCATCTCTCTCTCGTCGCCATCCTTCGGAGCGACCCTCGCCCGACGACGATGACGGTGAAGATCTCGACGCGGTACGCGATCTCGATCATATCTACCTATCTTCTAGGATCACGACTTCGTGCTCGTGAATCATCAGCGCGAGTGCGTCGTCCGAGTCGTCCCGAGTCTCGATTATTTGTAAAAATACAGGGTTTTAATATTTCGTGAAAAAGAAAATCGATAATTTATAAAGTGTATTCACTTTTTTTAAATCTGCGTTTGTTTCTGTGCATAATTGATTATTCGACATTTGGAGTATGATTCTATAGAATCGCGCCTAAAAAAGGCCACCCTTAATTAATTAAAATGATGAGTATGTTGTCTGTAAAAGTGTCTAAAACGCGACACGGTTTGTAGTATTTTTAAAATGCAAAATAATAACGTGAAAATACATGAAATTTTATTATTTATTCTCGTAAGTATCAAATTTTCGCATCTATTCGATAATTATCCATTAGGTCACATCATCTGTGATATAATCAGCCGTGAAACAAGTCGATAACAAGTTAAATGAGGTTCACGTGCGGTCGACGAGAGCTGCGAAAATGTGCAAGACAAATAATTGCCATGAGAATTTTATTCGTAAAACATAAAATCGAAAAACATAAAATTAATCATCGAAATAATTAATCTTTTCATGCTTTTTTACATGTATCTGTAAAAATTTGATCAAGATTTTGAGAGATATTTATCAAATATTCTCTCGCTCTTTCATTTATAATAATTATATCGATGATAATTTATTTTCTTTATAAAAATAATATCGATTATTGGTGAAATAATCTTTCAACATTCTCTCTTTTTCTTGTGGAAATGATAGTGTTAAGTCAAAATCATTTTATCATCATTAGGAATAATTATTATATATAATACAAATAAATATTAATAATCATAAAAAAATTCATCTCCTAAGGAGAGAGAGAGAGAAAGCGAGATATTTTCAAATCTTTAAAAAAATATTATAATCAAATAATAACATACCATTTATATTATCAGCGATTATAATTATCTCAACAACAAAGATGACTTATTCTAAATTTATCAAATTGATACTAGAAATATGATTCATTTATTATTATATAATTTTATAATTTATTATTATACAAATACCCGTCTCATAATAACCTTTATATTAAAATTCTGTATATATCATTTTTATTTTAAATTATATTTATGCTATATTTTATATAAATTTTCTACTTCTAATATATTTCAATTTTCCCTTTGTGTACTAAAAAGGACTTCTTGTGTCATTAATAAATAATTCTCATAAATAAATAAATAAATAAATTAATTAATTAATTAATTAATAGTTAATAAATAAATAAATAAATTTAATAATATATATTACTAAATAATTTTATATATTAATTCTTTATTTTATTACATCAATAAATATATTTATTACATGTAAACAACATGACTAACGAGAATTGTCATTTTTTCAGCGTACGGGAGACACACCAGATCGCCGAGGCGCAGCAGGAGAAGAACGCGAAGCTGCGCGAGGCGTTCGGCATCTCCGAGTTCTTTGTGGAGGGCAGTAGCCTAGACCCGGAGCGGCACGCGCGCGAGGCGGAGGCGCGAGCCGCCGCCGCCGCGAGCAAGGTCTACGAGCTGGTGCGGACACCGAGCCCGGCGCCGCCGCCGCCGCCGCCTCCGCCGCCCCCGCTGCCGCCGGACGCGGCCTCCGCCGTCGCGGCCTCCTCCGGAGCCGCCGAGAAGAAGAAGCGGAAGCGCTCCGGTAGCACCAGCGCGAAGAAGAAGAAGAACAAGAAGCACAAGGCGCGGGAAAGGTACAGCAAACGTAAACGGTGCGCGTACGGCTTCATGGAGGCTGGATTCGATTCTGACTCGTGACTCCTTAGTACTGTCTTTTCCTTTTTTTTTTGCCCCCTCTTTCTGTCTCTCTTTCTCTATCTCTATCTCTATCTCTCTCTCTCTCTCTTTATCTATCTATCTATCTCTTTTTCTTTCTCTTCCTCGCTTCCGTTTTAAGTAAGTTTCAAGATGCGAATCGAGGCTCCAAGACCGCACAGTTGACCTTCCCCATCGCACCCAGATTCTGGATAACTCCAGAAAAGAGAAAAAAGAAAACGACCAGAATCCGAGTAGAAAGTCTCCTCTCTTTCTCTTTCTCTTTCTCTCTCTCTCTCTCTCTCTCTCTCTCTCTCTCTCTCTTCCTTTAATCGGTTAATTGAGATTTTAATTCGAGATTTTGCAAACGCTCCTTCTGTCTCTCTTTCTCTTTTTTTTTTCTTTTTTTTAATTTTTTTACGCGCGTTAGCTGGATTATTCTGAAAGTACAGAAAAAAAATACAGAAACTGTAAACTCATGACTCACCACCTACTGTCTCATATCCCATACACCTTTCTCTGTTTCAAACAGAACTGAGGAGGACTGAGTGCCTACCCAGTAGGCGCAGTAGGTAAGTGTGGTCGTCGCGAATTAATTTGCAAAAACAGAAAAAAGAAACACACTTTCTTCAAGAAACTTTAACGTCGTTTGTGCAAAAAGAGACGCAATTGCGGCGATATCGATAGGATTTTCTCTGGGGATTCTCTTCTCGCGATTAGATGCCCGATTAGATAATTTTGGTAAATGTTTGCTACGTTTCGTTCTGTTGTACCAGAATCGTATAATTAAGAATGATATCTAAATTATTCCCAGTAAATTTCTATCAATGTAAATTTGTCTATTTTTTAAAAATCTGTAAATAATTTTTAGACACAAAAGAATTAAAATATTAAATTTAGAGGAAGAAACTACAAACACTGATAATATGATATAATTGGCAAGATGTTCAATATTACATCAACATCATGAACAGTGTAAATTGTGTAAATCCAAATTTTTAAAATTAAAAAAAAAATGTATTTCTTTATATACGCGAAAATGTTGTACGACGAAGAATTTAATTTTATGCTTGATTACGACCCTGGTTACATACAGTTTCAATAAATTTTATAATGATCTTAGTGATTTTCAATTAAAAAAATGTTTGAATTAAAAAAATACATTATATATTTTTTAAATTTAACAAGTATCACAGAGGCAAACATTTGCCAGGGTAAAATAAAATAATGAAAAACGTGGATACTCTCAAAGTAAACGCAAGAGAAAGTTGAAAATATTACAAAGTAGAGGAAAATTGCTCACAAAAAAAAAAGATTAAATGAAAATCATACATTTCTATCTCTCTGTTGTTGTTTATCGATGAAGCTTGTTGTTAATGTCATCTCTCTATTTTTTTCTGACAAGTCCGTCCCTATCGATGGTTATCAAGGTAATGCTAATCCCATATTTATATCAATAATCCTCATATTATGTATTATATATATATTTCGTACTTTTGTCTTCCGTTGAAATCTTCGTTGAAAGATGTGGTTTTTTGCAATTCCAATCTGAGATTTCGAAAAAAATTCTTTAACGAGTGATAAAACCAGATCTTTCAAAACGAGCGTAGTCGGTTTGTTAGCTATAGCCGCGATATTATTGTACAATATCATGCAATATTGTGAACATTTCACGCAATGTTATATACCATATCTTTTCAAAATTAATGCTGCGATGCGAGGTACACTTATTACATGATTTTATTTAGGGAATATTTCCAAAAAACGCGAAAAAAAAGTTTATATATGCTACATATCTTGATGTAAATTTCTTATCGTGAGATATTAAATTTTAAGATATATATTTTGAAAATATTCTCCATAAATATAGTGTATCCCGCATTTGCTTTAAAGAGTTAAAATTTTATTTCGAAATTGAGTCAAGAAAATTAAAGGAAAATTGAATTTTTGCTGTCTCGACAAATGACAATGTACTTTTATAATTATCTATTTAAGAAATTATAATTTTTTTGTGGATAAAGCTTGCGTATATTATAACGTATACGTTGATATATCGATAGAACGGAGCATCGTTTTTTCACATACACAGATACATTGTGTACTACAGAGCTTTCTTTATATATTGTCAGCACAAAGGTATGCACACTTGTCGACAGGAAGACGCCCACTGCAAGATCTATATAAGACTAAATATTGTTTGATAAAAAAAAAGATCCTAGCCGCCACGAGACTCTTGTAACGATTGTTTAATCTCCGCTTTCATAGATCCGAAAGTCCGGCCCCCAAGTCCGGCAAGAAAAAAGAGAAGAAAAAAAAGAAGGAGAAGAGGCATAAGAAGCCGGAAGTCACGTCATCGGATTCGAGCGACAATTCCGACGATAGCAAGTAAGATAATCAACTTGATTGAATCGCAACAATTTTTCTATATTAATTGGAATACAGTTACTTGATAAAAATTAATTAATAAATAAATTTAAATTTAAATTAATTTAAAAATTAATTATGAAAATATATGAGAGCTGTAACGAAAGCGACTAATAAATATTTGTGTTTGCAGCTCGTCCGAGGCTGAGTCGAAAAAGAGGAAGAAAAAGAGAAAGAAAAAGCTCAAAGTCGAGGGAAAGGACAAGCATGAGGTACGCACAAGGCTTCGGAGAAAGCCAAACGTAAATTATTATCTTTCCGTCTCTTCTATCTTTCTCTCTCTCTCTCTCTATTCTCTCTAGATATATATATTTATTCGGCACGTGAAAGAGTAGGTGCATGACAACGTCTCTCTAATTTATGTTTGTTTCTCCGGAATTTGTTAGTCGATCGACTTTGGGTAATCATTATTATTATTGTTATTTTATTATTATTATTATTATTATTCGATCTCTTTTGAGTTTTTGCCATTGTCCTGGAAACAGTAGCATGATCATTTTCTCCTTCCGGTTCGCTTGTTGTTTTTACGTAAATACGATTTTTCACCTAATTTTCACCCAGTTTTTTTTTCGACAGTTCATTATTTCAAAGTATAAATCTCAGTATTGTTTGTAATTATTCAGCGCCATTTGACAGGAGACATTCCCTGAGTGAGTACCAGATATGCCGCTATTCAATGTAATTTCTAATTTTGTGGGTTCATATGTATACTCGTGTACTCTTTTTCGAGTTTTACCGAATTTTATTGTCGTGTATAAGAGCCTCTCTATATTTCTCTCACTCGTTGTATGTCGAGCACTATATTACACACTAATTACAGAAGATCAATCTCGGAGACTGCTTATTCTTAAACGAGGGATTGGAATATATTCTTGAAAAAAAAAAAGATTATTGTATATACAAAAAAATAGAGGAATAGGACAAATTTTGCATCCTTAAATATTTTTTTTTTTAAATTTAATGCATGCCCTGGAAAAAGGTTGCAACTCAATTTCACTCATTTTCACTTTTCTCGAATTACATATATTTAATTTATATATATATATGTCATTTTATTTTCTAAATTTTAAAATAATTAATATGATTAATATGATGATTAAAATATAATTATATCATTTTATATAAATTTACTGAATATGAACTTGTAAAAGTTGTACACTTGAATTATAGTAATATTTATTATTATATTAATATAATTATTACCTTTTCTTTTTCTCTCTCCCTTATATTATTCTAATTTCTCCAAATATTTAAAACGTTTTAGTTTTTGAGTTGTCTTTTTCCAGATGTATACATGTATAACAAATAAACTATTTTGCTTCTTATTTTATATCAATAATAATTAACTAGAAATCTCGAAAGAAGCAGTCTTCGGAAAAGTTCTTTGAATACATCATTTCTTTTTGTATTTTTTTTTCATTGTTTTCTTGACGAATGCATGATCGATGTTCACCGATTGGAAAAATAAACAATATTGATCCATTTGATTGAATTTTCTTATAGAAAAAGAAGGGTTCAACTAAACGGAAACGCCAATCATCCGAAAGCTCCACAGATAGGTAAGTTTGTACTTGCTGAATTACTTCTTTTCTCTTTTTTTTAATTTTTGCACATGTATATATTATTGATTATTTCACAAATACTTGGCAAAAGATTGGTAAATATTTTCATAATGCTTATTTGCTCGAATCATTGTTTCTTTTTTAATTTCTTATCCGATATGAACCGATTACAGCTCTATGGAAAGACCGAAAAAATCTACGAAACATGAGAAAAATGCTGCGGGGGACAAGACATCTAGAAACGAGGTTTCCGAAAATGTCGCGACTTCCTCGCGGGAACCTCCTCGATCGACCCGATCGCCGAAATGTGCGGACCGAACAACATCTCGAAACGAGACTCCACCTTTGCCGCCATCGGTTAAATCAAAGAAAGATTCCCCGACAAAGAAAAGCACGACGGAAAAGCGAGATAAGTCGCCAGTCAGTCACAATAGAAGTTCCCCATCGCACAAGCGACACAGATCATCCTCTAGAAGCAGGACTGACAGAGGCGATAGAGGAAGGTCTCCTAGAAGATATTCGAGATCACGTCGCACGAGTCCGTCTCCCAAACGAAGAAGGGGATACTCGAGGTCACCCAGGAGGCACAGTAGATACTCCGTGTCCAGGAGCAGGAGCCGCTCCAGGTACGATCGTTACGGATCTTCCCGCAGGAGGCCCGCATCACCTCCGAGGCGCAGAGAGGCTGATTCTCGGCGTAGATCGCGTTCACCGAGGCGACAGCAACGTCGACGATCCCGATCACGATCCACCTTGAGCTATTCGCCGGTGAGAAAGAATCCAGAGCGTTACAGAGACATCCTGGAGGACCGAAAGCGATCGGATCAGAAGAGGAAAACAAAGACTAATAAGAAATCACGCTCGACATCACGAAGCAGAAGAACGCAACAAGTAGCGATCGCGCCTAGAGTGAGCCTGAGATCGTCGAGCGAGGATGAAGCCGAATTGGCGGACGAAGAGCAGCCCGGCAAACAGCAGCAGCAACAACAACAGCAAGAAGAAGACGAAGAGAGGACGAGAATTATGGAGCTGAATACTTTGAAACGATTGCAGAGCGGTTTAGCAGCGAAGGCGCGGGAGACGCTAGAGAAGAAGGTAATCACTCCCGTGAAGATCAAGATCGAGAGGCGAGAAGACAGTGTGTTAGATATCGCTCTGCCGAATGAACCGCCGAAAACCAGCGCGCCCATCCGAGATAGATCCGAGGAACCGGTGCAGCAGGCTCTTCCGATCATTCAATCGCCTGTGTCCAGCAGATCGCCCTCGCCGGCTCTACCTCTCACCCGCGAGGAGGCAGCGATCAAGATCAGATCGCCGAGTGAGTCACCACCGCCACTACCGTTACCTCAGCAGCCTGGAGACAAGGTCGATTCTGCATCTTCTGGTAGCGTGAAGATCAAGATGAATCGTCGATCATCTAGATCACCAAGTTTCTCCGGCAAAAAAGACTTGACGCCGATCGCGTCGTCGAGAAAAGAGCCAGTATCCAAGAGCAAATCGTCTTCTCGTTCTCCCGCGCCGACGATTACGTCCAAAGAGGATAACGCGACGATGAAACTACGTTCGCCGAGCGAATCGCCGCCACCATTGCCGAGCGCTTCGCTAGCTAGATCAAATCAGCGCTCGAGATCGCCGAAGAAGAGCAAATCGTACTCCAGATCGGCGTCGAGATCGTGCACGAGATCACCATCCGTGAACAAAGCGAGGTCTTCCAGATCTCCGTTCGGAGACAAGAAATCGCGATCCCGTTCGCGGGGCAAGAAATCAGCCTCGCCGGATCGGCGACTCGCTCGCTCGACCTCTAGATCGGTCTCCAGGACGAAGAAGTCGTCGCCGAAGGCAAGAACGAAACGCTCATCCCGCTCGAGGTCTTCCTCGACGGAATCGAAGCGCACGAGTGCGTCGAGATCGCCCTCGAGGGGCAAGAAATCCGCTTCGCGATCCAGAAGCAGAAATCGATCGTTATCGAAGAGAAGATCGCGCAGTCGCTCCTCACTCTCCAAGAACTCCAGAAGCAGATCGCTGTCGCAGAAGAGGTCGCGCAGCCGTTCGTTGTCCAAGAAATCCAAGAGTCGCTCGCGATCGGCGTCGAGGACATCCAGGGACAAGGACAAACGCAGCCGCACGAGGAGCAGTTCGCGTTCTTCCGTTCGGTAAGACTTTGATGCCTGATGCTTGGCCAATACGTGACTGAGTATTTATTATTCGTTAATAAAATTATTTAAATAAAATATTATTTAAATAAAATTATTAAATAAAATTATTTAAATAAAATATTATTTAAATAAAATTATTTAAATAAAATATTTAAATAAAATTATTTAGTAAAATTATTTAAATTAATGAAAAACAGACTGGGCCAAATAATCTAAGATTCTTTTTTCCTTCAGGTCGAGACACAGTCGAAGCAGAAGCTTCTCCAGCTCGTCAAGATCGTCGAGCAGCGTCTCCAGTCGGTCCTCGCGTTCTAGCTCCAGCAGTTCCGCCTCCACCAGATCACGCTCGCCGTCTATACCTCGACGTCACGGTTCGCCCAGCTTCCTCGATAGACGGCGCATCACAAGGTAGGTATCGCAGGCGTGTATGTCGCTATTTTGTCGTGGTAGGTTTATACATACATTTGCCACGCACTCTACGCGTGCACTGAGCTCGTGAGTCTACCACAGTAATCGTAGATTTTAATTTGTCGTTGTATCAGTTGTACACTTTTTTTTCATTTACGTTTTTTAATTTTCTTTTATTAAAGTTCTGTTATCAACATACATTATCCTAATATTATCAATGAAAATCATAAAGAGAAGAATTGCAGCTAAAAAGAGAGCTTTATAAGGAAAATTAAGTAAGAGATTAGTGAGAAAAAAGAGATGATCGGAATCAAAATTCTTTCTTAAAAAGAAAGGCGATCACATTTGCCTCGATTAGATTTCGGTATTCGATATTCTAATATTGTTTATTGTGTCCTACAGGGACAGATCGAGGGACAGGCATAGAAGATAGAGTTATGGCTTCGCACAGCATATATATATATACATATATACAACAATAGAAAAAGTCTAATATATAGACTTTACACATGAATGATTAATACTTTGACCAGGGTATTAATAATATTCTAATTTGTATTATTTTAAAGTAACATGTATCTAGTAACATTTTCCTCACCACAGTTGTAGATTTTTTTTTAAATTACATTTTGAAACGTAGATCTTTTTTAACATAGAGCATGTTAATTAATGCTCTTTGGACAATCTAGAGACGCATCGCTGTATCCTTGATGTATCGACATATGATGTGAATGAAAATGTTCATGCGATCAAAGAGGTCCCATTGGTCAAAGTGTTAAGTGACGTGATGATATAATAATTAATGGATATAATTATAATACGACGCGACAAGGAGAGATATGTAACAGTCAAATTTGACAAATGTAATAGTGTAAAGGCGTGAAGAAAACTTTGATGTAAACCACGGCTAAATATTATCGCAACCGTATAATTAGCAACCGTAATTATTCACAATCTCGCTCGTAGAATATAAACTTAGCTTATAGTTGATCTTTCATTTCGCGTATTTTCCAACTTTTTATTTGTAAGATTTTTTCCCCTCTTTCTCTCTTCCCCTCCTCCTCCCTTCGTTTTTTTCCAATCAATTCACTCGTAGCTCGATCTACGGATATCTCGTGTGTAGATTATAGCATGCGTGTATGTTTTAAATATTGTAAATTAATTTGTTTTCACACACACACACACAGTAGGAAAGATAAATAGAACTCCTTTTATTTTATTATCAATCACAAAATAAAAGATCGATCAACAAATATAGATTTTTTTTCTTCGTTATGTTAATTTCTCGATTATAAGTTTCTCAGTTTTTTTTTTCCTTCCATCTTTATGAGTGTTTCTCGCCCTGCTGAAATTCTTCAGAGAAACATTTCGCAGACACAGGTGAGTTGTTATATTTTTATTTTGAACCCCTGTTATTTTGAACCTCCTGTTTTTTTTTTTACAGCTTGCTTAATTTATTCTTATCACGCTGCATGTATGCATTCTATTATCTGTTTCATTTTTTACAATGATAATCGAATTTTCATTATCTACATAAATGATGAATATTATTTCTAACAACGTCACTATGTGTTACTAATCATTATTAAAAGTACGTGAATTTACATTATTAAATTATAAATTTGCATTAAGTAAAGTTAACAATCTCTTATGTTAATATACAGGGTGTTTCAGATCACCAGTACCACCCATTTAAAGACTAGTGAAGAGAAGTGGTTGTTTCAAAAAAGTAAAAATATGTTCATTTATAAATCGGGTGCGTTCTATCGAATGGTGATATTTTCAACTTCTGATTCCGGTCGGAAATAGGCGATTTAGACCGGAAGTGCACTTTTTTAAATGGACTCCCCTATTTTTCATTGCTTATTCTTGTAGCTTACCTCGAGTGCTTTCCAAAACACTATATTAAATTATTTTTGCATGAAGTACTTTTCGAGTTATGAGGCTTGAAATCATTTTTTAATTTTACATAAACCATAAAATATCTTGTAAAATATTCATTCTTCGATTATCTTACCTTAATTCTTTTATGTACAAAATAAGGAATCAAAGAAAATATACAGTTGTTTTTAAGAAAAAATATGGAATTGTTAATTGCAAATCACATATTTTTTCTTAGAAATAACTATGTGTTTTCTTTACACCAATTGATTTCTCTCATTATTTTGTACATAAAAGTATTAAGGTAAGATAATCGAAAAATGAATATTTTACAAGATATTTTATGGTTTATGTAAAATTAAGAAATGACTTCAAGCCTCATAACTCGAAAAGTACTTCATGGAAAAATAATTTATTATAGTGTTTTGGAAAGCTCTCGAGATAAGCTACAAGAATATGCAATGAAAAATAGGGGGTTCCATTTAAAAAACGCATTTCCGGTCTGAATCGCCTATTTCCGGCCGGAACCAAAAGTTGAAAATATCACCATTCGATAGAGCGCATCCGATTTATAAAGAAAATGTTTTTACTTTTTTGAAATAACCACTTCTCTAGTTTTTAAATGAGTGGTACGGGTGGTCTGAAACATCCTGTATATAATCATAATTATTTATTTTATTATCATTATTCATAACTAATATCATTGTCATTAATAATAATTTCTCTCTAACAGGATGAAATAATCTTTTTCCATTTCGCTCTTTCTTGAGATTAACATCTGTATTTTTACATAACTTTTTTTCTCTTTACAAAGAGAGAGAGAGATCATAATGTACTAACACATGTTTCCGTTTTAGCGCGAGGAAGCGTCCAATTCCGTATCATCGACCCACCCCGACGCCACCCTCGTCGCCGAGTAGCAGCAGGCATAGCAATTGCTCCAGCACCCGTCATCGATCTAGTTGTTCTGCGAGCCGCAGCTCGTCTTACACGCGCTAAGACACGCGTAAATTGTGTAAATTCCCCATCTCCGAAGCCGATATTCCTCCTCGTACACTAGACTTGGAGCGGCGTGGTTCCGATTCTGGTTACGACCTGACCCGGCACCATACATCGAGTTTCTTCGCTAATTGGCTCCCGAGAGGTGTTAATTTAAGAATGAAAATGCTGGGTTTCGCATGGAAGGGATCGAAGAATGTTTCAGAATTAAGGATCTGTTGAATTGTTTTTCTGAAACGACAGATTGCATCGGGATTATTTCTTGCGAAACTCTGAAAGTTGATTTTTATGTCGACGAAAATTTGAAATCATCATCGATAAAATTTTCAAGTGTTTCTATTCATCTAAACAACAAAAGATTTAAAAGACGATTGGAGAACTTTGTCTGAAGGGCCAAGTCGACTTTCAGATATTTTTATGTTTGCAAAAAAGAGTTTATGTTAATCTAGGATAACGATTTGTAATCAGAATTATCTAAAAATGTGTAAAGGCAGCTGTGTATGTTGATCATACGTTTTCTTTCTCTCAGATATTATTCGAATGGCGTGTTATTTAATAGATGCAATCCCACACGTTTAATAGAGAGAAATTAATTTTTGAGTAGAGACGCCATTTCGAGCATAATGCATAAGTAGTATGCATTTTTTTTTACAACACAAAATATTTTAATCGATTTTCCATTCATAAAAAAAAAATAATTACAAATTTCGATATGTTTTTCATATCAATATTATCCATTTAAACGATCCCTCTATCAGAAAAAATTGACTTTCTCGATCAGTTTGCTATTTATTTCGGAATTTTCGTTCTCGAGGACGTAATTTTGCAATCATTTAGTTTAGTACTAGCAAATTAACGCGGAGGAAATTGAATATCAATGTAGATTTTAATGTATAATACTCTCTCTCTTTCTCTCTCTCTCTCCCTCTATTCAAACAAACTCGTGTTAAAGTGGTGCAGCTTTGTCTAATCTTCTAACAACTTTCTCTAGAGATTTTTTTTATTTAAAGTAAAGAATCTCGAAACAAAAATTCGTGCAAAATGAGAGGATATTTTAATAACAAATGTGAGAATTTTTTCTCTCTATATGAAATGACGTTTTTGTATAATATTCACCTCTCAATATTTAAAAATGTGAAATTCTATTCGGATTCTTTTCGGTGAATCGCTTCCAAATTACCCAATTCGCTCACTGTTATGTAAATGTGAATAATAATAGAGAAAGATCCGGTTGAGCGTCTTTTGTTTACTAGTCACTGTGTGTAATATTTTGATATATAGTTTAACAACTATTCAAATATTTATTTGTGCAATTGTTTTTCTTATGACGCTACAACACTTAAACTTATCAACGAATCTCATGAATCAAGATCTCTTTAGACAATCTGTAATTCGCGACAAATTCAAGATCGAATTATATTTATATAAATTTTATGTGTCGTATATATAACGGAGAAAATATTTAATATAAAATATTTAACATAAAATAAAAATATATATCAGGACATATTAAGACACATGTGACCCATATAAAATTCTCTGGAATTTTATCGCGAATTGTAGACTGTCTAAAGGGGCCTTTAAATTTTTATGTACTCATAATTTTTCAGTGCAATGTTATAATTCGTTCTTTTGTACATAGATAAATTCTTTCGGAGAATTTTTCTCAAACAGTTCAAATCCTTTGCGTGATATTTATAGACTATATCGAACATTTAAAGATCATACTTGATCTATTACACTCTTTCGCTCACAGTTTCTACGCATATTTTATTTCACTTTTATCATTTTTATATCTACTTTTATTTCTACAAAGATTTATAGTTTTATTTTATATATATATATATATATATATATATATATATATATAAGAATTATAAAAAATGCTCTCTAAAAATAACTTATTGATAAATATTTGAATTTAATGATCTCCTGGACATAATGAAAACATTTAAAGAAACACACTTTCAAAAAATAATTCCATGCACGCAAAGGATTGATATATCCTAGCTCAATAATATGTATTATATATATAAAATTTATTTATTTATTTAATTATTTTATAGAACAAATCTCTTAGTTTTAGCTCCTTTTACACGCGATATTTGAAAAAATATTCTAGTCATAGGAAGATGGTTCCGGAGCCCGTAATTTGGGTCAGGCAGCAGCGTACCAAAAAAAAAGACATAATTAGAACTACTAGTCTCGACGTGCGATTACGCAAAGTTAAGTCTCGAAGATATATGTATAGGATTATAAAGAAAGATCTCCATAGAAAAATCTCCACACACACATCTCCAGAAAGATCTCTTGGAAAGTCTACGTCGCGTTTACAATTAGATAGAAAAACTTATGTAGCGTTAGTTCTCACACTCGTGTAAACGACTGATTCCTTTTTAACGAAGAATCCCTCCGATCATTGATATTGGGTCGTATTATACATATGAAATGTTGGAAATTTGCGTGACTCTATTATTAGTATCCTCAATGTTTTATCCTTTTTTACATTTTTAAATCTTTTCTTACGCATTTGATAAAAATAGTTTCAAATTCAGGAGGAATGCAAGAGATATTTTAAGAGAATCTCTTCGATATCTTATATATATATATACGTATCTACATTTTACTCTTCTTGTTTTTTCAAATTATCGATTGTCCATGTATGTAAAGTGAAATTAAAATTGTCCATATATGTAAAATGAACATTTCATGTACATAATGACCTAATAATTATTCGATCAGCTGTTGAACTCCAATATTAGCATAGTGTCCTTCGCATTCGAATATAGTTTCTCCAGTACGATGATTGTATAATCGCTCCTTCCTTATTCATTTCCAAATATGCAGCAAAGTTGTGCGACTTAAAAGTTAAATTCGGAAACAACGTTTGTCTATATATTCTGCGATTATTTATAAATATTAGTGAAATGATAAATTCTATGCGATTTGCGGATGTATCGAAAAATGGTGTGCGAGGAAATTAATGTCAAAAATTTGAATCACACCTTCAGAGCAAAGAATCCTCAAGTTGATATCCTCAAGTTCATCATCTTGTTGAGAGGAACTCGACATGGCTTTTGTGAATCCGATGTCTGTGTATCCGCTTATGATTTACAGCCATCGAATGTTACTGTCTCGTTAAAATGAAAGAAATTCGGATATTATATCTGTAATATACTCTGTATTGTTGTTGTGTGATTAAATCGAAAATCTTAAACATGCCATGACATATTGCTTTTGAAAACTTCCATATCTCGTAAAAGTATATAGAGAATCGTAAAATGCGATTATATAATTGATATATTATGGCTGACAATATAGATAAAATTAAAAATATAACATAAAAAAATGATAAATGTCGATATTCATTAAGTTTATCGGAAATATATCAGTGAAATGTGGCATCCAGTATTAGAAAAAGAAAGAATAATGTAATTGATAAAAAGAATAATTTTAAAACAGAGAAATTATGTGTAATATAAGTAATTTCCTATAAATAAAACAGTTGGCATGTAAATCTATATTTTTATTTGTGTATATATTTTCTGATATCAAAACACCTAATTGCAATAAAATATTAATTACACTTATATATCTGAATGTAGATAATAATATAAATCATATATTCTATATATATTCATTTTTTAGACAAACATTAACAAATTATAACGAAGGAATGTATTATTTACTTTGTACAAATAATGAAAATATTATTAGCACTTGATAAATTCATTACACATTATTTCTGCGAAATACTCTGTTTCATCGAGTGAACAAAGTCACCATGTCAACCCAGTACATATAAAAGAAGCATATCGCCATATTTTTTTTGCATAGTTACTATACAAAAATATTTAAAATGTTTAAAGTAGTAAAATATTTATAACAACAATTGTAGATAGTATTGTATTCTTCTACTTCTCTTTTGAAGCTTTCGCTCTCTTATTTGCGAGATAAATAACCCATGCAAAACCAACGAGATTCACCATTAAGACCCTCAACTAGAAAATCAAATAAAATAATTAATAATTTCCTATATCCTTTGCCAATTTTTATATAAACATAATTTCAATATTAAAAGAATATTAAAAGAAAAATTAATATAAATAATAAGAAATAGATAAAAAAAGAGTGTATGTAGAAAAATAATTTTTAGAACAGATTTTAGTGATATAAGTATAAATAATTTCATGTAAATCAGAAAATAATTCACACAAATTTCCACAAATAGAAAAGAAATTTCTAAGAATAATCAATAATTAAAATATAATTAGAAAAAGAAATATAATCTAAAAATAAAACAAGTTAGGAAAGTATTCTGACAGAATAACATATGAAAATAACATTACCATAGGTGGAATAAATTTTATATTGATATATTGGAACAGCGTCAAGTATTTTAAATTAGCCAACAATGTTGGCAAATATAACTTCCGCATCTGATTAGTTGCTGTTTGATGAGATTTACCCTGAAAATAAATCAAATTTTAGCATTAATAAAATACAAATGTTTTTTTTTAAATCAACTATTGCTCATCACTAATTTATTTACCTCATTCATTGCTATAAAGTTTAATTTATTAGAATCATATTATTTAATTACAAGTACTAAATTATTTATGTTAAGATTATTCATAACAGAATGAAAATTTGAGAAAAATGATAATTATGTTATAAATATGATAATTATGTTATACGTATGTTAAGATTATTCATGACAAAATGAAAATTTGCAAAAACAACTGTCAGTCTTTGTACCTCAAAGATGGCAAGCATGTATAGTGCAAGTGCTTGGAAACATGGCATATAGAGAAGTCTTTCTATGAGTAATATTCCCAGAGGATGTCTCACGAGCAATGGCATATATGTATAAAAGTAATGAGGCAGTGGTCCTCCGAAGAAGAAACTACAAGAATATTTACGCATAAAATACACTTTTTCTTGAAATCTTCATTAATTTCATTCACAGCATAAACAATAATCTATAGCCTACCCAAAGAGAGCGTAGGCCAGGATACTGTCATCATTAAGTTGCTTAGCACCAGACAATTTCTGAGATACTACATTTCCAAGGACCGCAATAATGCAACTGAAAATAATACAAATATGTTTATTGGAACAAATATATACTAATAAATATTTAAAACAAATGTGTTTATTAACAAATATGTATTGATAAATATTTAATATATTTAAAAATATTTAAATTATTTCACAAAACAAAAAGGTATATAATTAAACATCATTAATTGTAGTTGCTGATTATAATAATGCATATATGAAGATTATGTATATATATATATATATATATATATATATATATGTATATATATATGTATATATATATGTATATATATGTATATATATATATATATATATATATATATATATATGTATATACTTAATATGAAATTCTGTTGATTTTACCTAGTTATAGCTTTTGTTTTCAAGGGATTATAATAAAGCTGATATAAGTACGAGCCAATGAGACTATAAATAACATTAGCCGGCTTGGAAAGCGACATTGTCTCGAATTAGGTCTCCTTCTCGATGTGGACGTGAATCTAAATAAAGAAATGTTCGTATGATGATTCGCAAAATCGAATATGATTATGACAGATACCAAGGAGCAAAGTGCACATTGTTTTATGCCTTCCTTTTTTTTTGTTTACGATTGGTCGAAGATAAGCTGGCTCTAAAAAGGCCTTATATCACATATATGTTGGACAAATTGAGACAGAAATAATTTTGTTTTACACGTATTAAGTAATTAGTATTAAGTAATTCACATATTAAGTAATTCTGATTTTTATATAAAAAATATACAGCAAATGTAAAACATTCAACTGCAAGAAATTAAAAAATTTGCATGTCAATAATTGAGATATTTTTTCATAATAGACATAATTTTGTTCTCTAAAAAATATACAAAATAAAAGTTACATATGAATGATCGAATAATTTGTACGAATTGTAAGAAATTTCGGAAATTTGTCGACGTATAACCTCTCGAGTAAAGCTTGAGAATCGAGAATCACAGAATCTGTATTTTGAACAAATTATTAAAAAAAAAAAAAGAATAAAACCTACAATTTTACAAGATTAGAAAATATATAATTAATTCATATATAATTCATAGAGTTTCATGTGTAATTCGAGTAAATTCATGGAAAATTTCATTTATTAGTCCGCTCGAAATCAGGTCATAATTTTGACAAAATTTCTCAATGTGCAAAAAAAAATACGCTATTCATAAATTCATATGATATCAACGTGTATTTTGAGAATAAGATAAAAAAAGAATACCCGAGTCTCGTTTGTCGGTGACGATCGGTCGCTATGTTATTCCCTGTCCGAAATGTCAATCGCTTCTCGAGTGTCGCGTGTCACGTGGTTACACGTGTTTATGTGAATCCAGTTTGTGCTTGGGTGAAATAAATATTTAGGTGTAAAAAAAAAGCTTAAAAAAGCAAGTATTTGTTTAGATAGGATAAAAGAAAAATGTTTATGTAAAAAAATATAACGGTTCATATATAACAGATATATAAAGCTCAATAAATCTTGATAGATTTTCGGACACGTGCAATAAATAAAATGAAATTACGCAAATCAATTCGTGACATAAAAACTATAATATAATTATGCATGTTTTATTGCAATTGTAATATTAAAGTGTGTGACATTAGAATTGTGTGATTTATTTAGTAATTCGAAGCAATGAAATTTTTCTATAACGTGACATAACCTGTAGACAAACTTGAATAAGTTATATTATAATTGCAATATTAACTTGTAATTAAAATTAAATATTTTTTTATATCGTTATTATATACTGCTAAAAATTATTTAATAATAGTCTAAAAATTATCTAATATTATATAATATTCGTATAAATTATAATAAATGTATAATTATAATTTTGTGTATACGTGATACAGATATTGTAGACAATTGTAGATATGATAGAGATTTATATTTATTTATATCTTTTTTCTCCTCTTTTTTATATATAATAATATATATACGTTATAAAAATTACTTTTCCACTTATGATTTTATTGTATCTTTCTTTACAGCTTTACAGTGAACAATATATTTGTTAAATATACTTGAACTTGTATATAATAAATTATATATAAAATGGCACAAGGAAAGCTCAAAGTTAAAACAAAATTGCCAGCATCGGTAAAGACAAAGGCCAATAAAGCTAAGAAAGGCCCTGCTATCCAAAAACGTGGAAGTAAGTAATAATAAGAGAAGACAAACTTTTAGGAAATCAATTTATGAACATTAAGATATTTTACTAATACTGAAATTAATAATATATTATGATGTTTCTGACTTTTTAAAAGATGCTCCGGTGCAGCCAAAGAAAACAAAGTTACAGGAAGTGCAAAAGTTAAAAAAAGTGATTTCAAAAGCAGTGAACAGTACTATAGAAGATGAACTGCGAGAGAGAGCCTTGGAGGGAAAGAAAACTCTAGTGAAGAAAAATACTTCCAAAACGCAAAAAACATAATTTTTGTTAATATGTTTGTGTATGTATTAATATATTATATATATTAATAAAATAATATTATATATTTGAGATTATTCAAATTGATAAAAAACGAAAGAAAAGAGTAAAAATTCTTTTTTTTTTATTTATTACGTTTTGCATTAGCTTATATTTAAATAATGCTTATAAATTACTGACACATAAACTCAACGATTCAACCGAATATCTTGTCCTATCAGAATAAATATTAATTAATAATAATTATCTGATTTACAAGGAAATATTATACAGGACGCCTTATAGCACCGTGCCCTTTGTACTTTTGAAACAATTTCAACATATGATCTATATTAGAACAAAAGTAACTGCGTATTTGTTATTTTATCATTTCTTAAAATGAAATAAAATACACAATGGTTAATTTAATGAATATAAGTTACAGTATCATATATTAGTGTTCTTCCTAAAATACTTTATCGCATACTCTAAATCACAATGTATTAAGGCCACTGTAGGCATCATAGCACTTGATTCTTCTGGTCCTCGAAAAATTTCTTCGAGATATTTTTATGGAGAAGCGACCTGAAATTTATATTTCAAAGAAAAAGATAAATGATAAGATGAAAGTATTAAAGATACTGTTCAAATTTGAATATTTACCACCAATAAGTGCCCACTCTGTCGATTCTTACTGATTGCCGGAGTGGCACCAGTTCTAACTTCAATGACTCCTTCTTTACCACTGACTAGTTTATGGGATACGCTGTAATATAATATTGTAAGTTTAATGGAAATAGAGTAAATCAAAGCAATTAGCTAAATTAAATTTTCAATCAAAGAGTACCTGTATTAGTTTCAATTCTCTAATTAATTGAACTTTGATTAATTTCAGTAGAAAGCGATAAATATATGCGTAAATATTTCTTACAATACTTACGATTCGGTATTGACAATTTTGAGAATATTTGGATTACTAGTAATCTTGATCGCTTTTGTTAAAGCTTCTATTATATGTGGAACTTCCAAGATCAAGTCACCCTGTGTAAAATAGAAGAAAATGCATAAGAATATATATAATTTATTTTCTTATCTTACTTTTAAAAATTATTTGCTCTAGTCTGAAATTTTATCATTCTTGAAGTTTAATTTATTCTAACTAATATTTATTTATTAAACTAATATTTACTAAATAAATCCTTTACTCTCTACAATTTCTTTTAAATTATAAATAAGTTTATAACTTATATTTATTTATGTAATAAACTTTATTTTACTATTAATTTAGAATGTCTATATGTTAATTTAAAATATTAAGATTTAAGTAAAATATATATTCTAGAGGCAGAAACCTTGTCCTTTTTCAGTTCGGGCGGTATCCTAACGATGAGCAAATTATCGGATTCCCCGGTGACGACTAGTTCTTCAATAGCCTTATAAGGCAGACGATGCTTAAGCTTGAAAGTTTTAAGTGTATCAAGGATGTACACTGCGTTTTCCGTTAAAATGAGCACTCTTTCACGTGGCTTATAACCATGCCGATCGTACTTAATGACGGGAGTTGCATACTGAAAAGTTGGCGATTTTAATTTAAGCTTCCTTTCTCGGGCTTCCAGTTGCAAGCGTTTGAAAAAATAGTAAATATAAAAAATTTGTTTGTAGAATTACATTTACCTTTATATTTTCCCCGGAAGGTAAAATATTATTGATAAAACTCTGTCGTAACGCTTTGTGCTCCGCGCCAAGACGATCGGTTAGGAATCTCGGACCTAGACTCTTCGCGTAAGATTTCTTTTTACCCTTAAACAAAGACTCCGCGAGAATCTTCAATTCGAAAAGTTCCTTATCCTCCTTGCTCAACGCCAAACGGTAACAACGCGCTTGCCATCGCTTATATATCACTCGCAAATGTTCTGATGCCTGCAATATTATGCATATATTTTATAGATATTATATAAAAGATATAAAAAAGATATAAAACATAAATATAACAATCTGTAGGCATATATATATTGTATTCATATTGTATGAATTTAATTGCATAATTGTAGAAGTAATATGTGTTTTATTTTGCAGAGAATTTTTTTAATTTTATTTAGAATCGTACCTCTCGGCATGAATACGGACTTGGCGGCCAATAATTATTTAAAATGCCTGTTGGTAGCGTTTTCGAGAGTCTGATGAGCCACTGGGATTTTGCCAATTCAATAAATGCTATATTAATCTTGGTAGGCGGTCCATCCCGAGTGATGAATCCTTCGATAAATCTGTAGCAAATTGCATTTTTTGACATTAAATATAAATTTTAAAATATGAGAATACAAGATGTAAAATATATAAAAAATATGTATAAAATATATATTAAATGTAAAATAAAAATTATATAAGTATATAAAAGATAATATGTAAGATATAAAAGAAAAATACTAAATGAACAAATAATGATAAATCGTATTTTCTAAAATTTGGTAGAAAATCAAGAACGAGTGAGCAATACCTGCGAATAGTAATAACCGCTCGTCGTCGCTTTTCCGCTTCGCGTTTCGCAAGCCATTTGCGAATATATTTCTGGAAAATAATCGCCGCTTCTCGCATCTTCAAGTATTTTCTTCTTGCTAATATGCCCTTCCATTTGCTTTGAATAATAGCAGCTATTTCATGCTTTTTTATTTGGAACGCATCTTCCGTCTCGAATAACGTTTTAGGAAATCGAATGAATAATTTTGTGCTGAAACACGTTATTACAAAGTCACGGGCTAAATATATTTATTATTTCTTATGTATCAAAATTATTTTCATAATTTCGATTATTTTTCCAGAATATTTGTGTGCGCATTTAAATTAAATATAATAAATATCTTAATTTCTAATTCTAACATCTAATCTAGAATATATTTTTAAAATACAATGTCATCTTACTTGCCCATCCTGTACTCATCGCTCTCATAACCGAGAGCAGATACAAGGACCTGCACGCCTTCTTTGGCCGAGCCGTGGTAATTCGGCCAAGTTTCCGAACAGAGGCATTTGTAACGCTGCAAGAATTGCTCGTATGGTCTTCGATATGCAAAACCGGCGCGTCTCACTCGCAAATTTTCCATCAATCCCAAGTACTTCACTTGATGTAGCACAATCTTTTCGTTGAATTGATCTAAAGAAGAGAAAGTTGAATGAATTTCAGATGATAATGATCAATTTTTTATCTTTGTTATAGTTTCATTTGTGCTATTCCTCCTTATTTTCTTTTTTCTTACATTTATGTCAATTATGAAAATTGAAGATAATTTATTTTTAAATATTTATTGTATATCTATTAAATTATATATTATGAATTTTAAAAAATGTTAGAAATTTCATATATAGAAAATTTATCTTAATTTTATCTTATATTAGTTTTACTTACTAGGCAGTTTAAAATCGTTGGGTTTGATGCAGCGAATATAAGACGGTTCTTTGCCCATAAGGATTTCAACCAGATTATTCAAGCTATTTTTAAATTGAGTTATGGCAGTCTCTGGACGTTTCTTACTGGTTAAATCTTTCACGTCAAATACAGTCTGTAAGAAACGAAAAATTGTACACTAGCCAAAGATGTAAAAACATTCGAGGCTAAAGAAAAACATCTCAAAGAAGATAAACATTATTTTTGCAAATAATTTTTTAATTTTTAAAATTGATAACTTAGAAAAGCTTTTTTTTATAGCTCTCTTTTATAGATTTTAATTTAGAAATTTTTTTGTCATGGATGTCAAATTCCTACCTTTGTAATAGAATTCGTTGTGTGCGACATAACTTCGCGTAAGTCTCGGAATAGTAGATCATTATTTTTCTCAAGAAATCCACGTACATTGTACGTTACATCACCAGCGTAATGTACCAATCGAAATTCCTGAAATGTCAATTTTCAATTTTGCGCAAATCCCATAAAATTTTCTAGTATTAATATAAACTGATAAAATAAATAATATAAAATAATTAAAACAAATAACAGAGAGAGGAATAGAAATAAATAATAAAAAATGATTAAACTGAAATAAAATAATTGGAATTTGAATAGATAATGTACTTGTCTCTTCATTTGTCATTTTGAAATTAATCAATCTCTAATAGTTATAAAATTTATAAGTAATTAATAGAAATTTCTTACATCTCGACCCATAATTTTCTGCGTTTGAATGTCCGCCTTTTGATGACTGATATAGTGAGGATGGTTGTTTAAATTTACATTCATCTTCTCCAAGAAACTTATATCCGTCGGTTCTCCAGGTCGCAGACATTCCTCGTCCATTAAAGATATTATTCCTGTAGTGTAAACGATTAATTAATAATAGCATATATAGTTGGTTAAATTTTATAATAAATTTTTAAAGATTCAACCTTTATATTTCTCCTCAATTAAGTCACAGATGATCTTATTGTTAAAATATTCTATATTTTCCCAAGCTATCCCTTCGCGCAAATACTCTTCCTGTTCTGATTTCAGCGTCAGTTGAATGAATAATTGTTGTAATTTTTCGTTACAGAAATTAATACAGAACTGTTCGAAACTGAAATGATAAAATTATAAGTTATCCTTCATTAAAAACCTAAGACGTAGCATATAGCATTTATAAATCATATTTAAGATAATTTTCATTAAAAAACTTTATTTCTCTCAAATAAATATTACACAATTTATGATAAAGGATAAAAAAGATATGAAAAAATTACATAAAAATATAATATAAAAAATAATAAAATATAGCGCTTATATAAATATAAAATATAGAAAAATATTTAAAAGAACATGAAAAAAAATATATATATAAAATAAAATTTAGAAATTATTTTTCTTAAACATTATTATTTGCCTCAATTTTAAAGCGTAAAATCTCTAATCACACACTGTTACCTGTTCTTCTGGAAAATTTCGAAACCATAAATATCCAAAATACCCATAACCATTTTACGTTGTGGGTTGGTCTGAGGTTGCAGCGACTTGTTGAGCCTAGTCACGAGCCAGGTGAATAATCTGTCATACACAGCCTTCGCCAGCGCGTCTCTCGCATAAATGGCTAATTCTCTATTCAAGGGTGAAACCACTACGTCACCATGTGCGTTTATGGTGCGATGAGTGAATGCCTTCGCTAGCACGTTTACGTTGCATCCTAACAACTATTCAATAGAATCATTAGTTATTTGCATGATTGTTTACATTTGAAGGGTAAATCGAGAAATAATGAAATTAACTTTGCAAATAGTGATTTCATGTCGTTTTTTGAACAGAAATAATGTTAAAATAAATAATTAAAAATAAAAATAATTATATATATATATATATATATATATATATATAATTATATATTAATATAAAAATATGTGTTATACAATTTATATTATACAATTTATTATACAATTTTTAAATATTCTATTATATATATTTTGATTTCATAGATTAATGTAAATTATTGTAACGGAAATTAAAATAGATCTCAGAAATGATTACCGTAGCAATGGCATCGACAGATGCAGGTTTTAAAATTGTCGCCACACCATCTTCCTCTGTGAAACCCACGTTACCCATATGCAACACTGACGCAACTATAGCAAATAGATCATCCTGCTCTGTTTGAGACATTTCCATGGTCTTCATCGCCCGAATGACTTCTTTATACTGATTAGCATCGTCGATGGTATCCACCGTGCCTTTCGTCTGATATCAATTTACAAAAAAAATAATAAAAGATATCGAAAGATATATCAATTTAAAATGTAAAATATAAAATATATATAAAATGTCAAACGCCATATGTGTGAAATATATAGAAAGTATATAAAAATATATAATATATATAAAGAATGAAAATTGAATACACTTACACCATTGCTCAGATAGAAGAAAGTGTCAAGGTTTCTTTTCAAGAACAGCTTTCTTAACGTGTCGTCATCTGCGCCTGCTAAAAGTTGATAAAAGATGTGAAAATTGCGCTCGCCCACGGATTGATGAATCACCCGAGACTTCTCCAATAAATAGTTTAGAATATTTCCACCAACCGGGTCTCCCTAAAAGTACATAAACATATTTAATCGCTAAATGTATTTAGCAAATCAAAGTACTTCTGCAAAAACAGATGAATAAAAATATTGACAATTATATTAATATAAATTATATTAAAGTAATATTTTAGTGTAATTTTTTCTTATTCTTCAAATCATTATGATTTATTTTTTTAGGTAAAGAATAATGAATTTAATTTTCGTTTTTGTGAATGAAATTGTCTTCAATTGGATTTCTCTCTGTTATTTTAGACAGAAACTTGTGCGTTAGATGAGAATTTTACCTGAAAATTGAACTGAACATCCATATATTTGCCGAAACGGGATGAATTATCATTGCGATTGGTCTTCGCATTACCGAAAGCCTCTAGCACGGGATTGCTGCCGATCAGTTTATCGTTTACTTCTTCCACCTGCTTTTTATGTCCCGTAGCAGCTGCGATAAACTGTAAGACTTTCTTGGACGCCTCCGTCTTTCCAGATCCCGATTCGCCTTATTGTTAGAAAAAAAAAGATACTTTATTGTTAGTAAAAAAAGGATATAAAAATATATATAAAAAGACTCGATGATAAAAAAAGAAATCATCATATTCAAAAGATATATTAAGATAAAATGAAATTATATTCAAGAAATCAAGACTGAAAAAAATAAATAAATTCGAACTATTAATATAAAATTAATTTTAAAAAAATCAAAAGAGAAGATATAATTAACTTAAAACTAATTATAATTAAAACTAATTATATATGGTTTTCTAGTTATTTAATAATAATTAACGTGAAATAAATTAAAAGTATGTCTACCTGAAATCAAGATACATTGGTCACGGTTTTCTTTTGCCAGAGACTGATAGGCGGTATCCGCGAGAGCAAAACTGTGGAAAAGAATTCTCATAATAAATATGATTTGGAAAAACGCCAGCATTACATGATTTAGCTTATACGAGGTGTCCCGAATCTTCCTCGTTCATAAATTTTTTTTTGGCAAGAGATTTTTAAAGAATTCATTCATTTTAGAACACCATATATAAAAAAGATGCTTACATATGAGGAGGCGCCTCAAAAAAGTTTCTTCTATGATAATACTGAATGGTTTCCGGAGTGTAAATGGGCAGTTTCTTGTAAGGATTCACCGATACCAGTACTTGACCGATGTACGTCTGCGGTGCCAAAAAAATACGAATCTTTTTAAAATTATTATTCACTACATATCATTTTTTTCTACACTCAATTGTGTACACAAGTCGCTATCAGTAATATAATTCAGAAAGTATTGATGATGCAGAAAAATAAAAATAAAAAAAGAATACGATTTTTATACAAAAAACATGTTATTATTCTAGAAATTTATCCTCTATTAATGACTTTATTAAGCAAAACCACGTATTATGAGATTACAATTAAAAAATTTCAGAAAAATCAAATATAAAGACACGACAAATAAAATATAAAATAATTAGAATAATTAAAATAATTGAAATAATTAAAAAGTTTCATTCGTACAAATTTCTCGACGAGGGATTAATTATACTTTCGACTCACGTAAATGAGATCCTCCTTGAATCGCTTGCGCAGATTATCGATGAATGCGGATTCGCTGCGGAAATCTTCCAGGAGAACAAAGTCCTGAACACCAACTCGGTCGCGTTCGTGCAATCCACGCTCCATATTTTCGAGCAATTTCCGAGCGGGTTTGAAAACTTCCGGTCTCGGGGGATTCGGCTTATTCAAGCCACCCCCAGTGTCGATTGTGTTCACGCTGCGAATATCAGTCAGGATCAGAATTGTTCGTTGCTATCAGTGTGATAACACCAATTTATTTATCAATCAATATTTCGTAATTTTGTAATTTGCAATAACGTCACTTCTTAACGATAATAGTTACTTAGCAAATTACAAGTGCTTGAGAAAAAAGATGGCAGCAAAAAAAAAATAAAAGTAATTTATTCTTTCTCTGTTTTATATTGTATTCATAAATAATATTTATATTAATACTTATATTAATATTTATTTCATATTCATAAATAAAAGATTCTCTAAATGTGCTAAGAAAAAAAAAGCGAGAGATGTAGGAAATATAATTTTTTTATTTTGTTTTAATCATTTCATTTGTAAATTTGTTTTTTCAACCTAAACCTCTATTTTCAGTCCAAATCTCTATTTTTAAAATTTATTTAGGTTAATTTATTTATTAGAAGACGAATAATTCAAACGTTTGACTTTTATGTATTATTTCTTTATATATTTAATTGTAAGATTGAGAAATTAAAAGAGAAAGGTTTTAATTAATATCTTATTTTTTTAAGAATTTTTTAGAATTCGATATAATTAGTTTTTTGTTTCAATTATTTTGTAACGTTAAAAATTTATTTAACAAGTAGCATTTTAAATAAAGTTGATTCTACGTATTTGCACCGTTCTATTTGGCCTCGCGGCCTCGTGAATGATAAAGACTTACAATAGATTAGATATCGGAGCGGTTAGTAACATTCAAGTTGGCAGACAATAAAAGCGAATGACGATAGAAATCGATCGGCAAATATTTCTATTGAATAAACGATAAGGAGCAAGAAAAAGTAAAAATAGGGGAAAATAAAATATCGCATAATTTAGGATAAAACGAGTCATTTTCGCCGCCAGCGAAATGTCATAAAATTTCGAATAGATACATATTTCGGCGAGTTATAATTAAATCTGATATTTCAAACTTGATTCGTTCAACAAAATTCCTCCCCCTGACCAAATGACTTTAATCCGATCAAGTTTGCAAATTATTGCGGGGAAAAGTACTTACCCCATATTTCCGCAAACCTGCGAAAGAGTCATCTGGGATATCTAAATAAATAAAAAAAGATACACGAGAGAATTCGATTATCGTGCTCGTTTCATTATCAATCGCGAGCGCGAATCCGACTCTGGTCTACCTGGTTAGGATAAACGCGAATTCGCCAGATAAGATAAAAGCGAATTCGCCAATTCGCACGCATCGCGACATCTGATATTGCAAATCTAAACGGCAGATATTAGGTGGAATTATAAAAATTTCGTTCGAAAAGAAAACACAACTTAAATAGAAATTAAATAGAAATTAAAAATTAAAATATTTAATCTAACTTAAATAGGAATTAAAAATATTATAGTTCCCGATAAAGCCGCTAAAGTACTTGGAGTGTCGTATTCCTCGAATGTAGTAGTATTATTCTTCGAAGAATCATATGTATATCAACAACTGCAATCATCCGAGAGAGAGAGATAACAGATGATAATTCGAAAGACATAGCAAGTAAACCCCTTCAAGGAAATGCAAATTTTAATTCTTCGAATCACATGACAGACGTCATCTCAATCATTTTATTTAATATCTCATTCTATGAAAAAAAATCATAATTTAAATGTTCTTCGAAGAAATAGGATTATGTTACATGGACGAATAAATAAAAAAATAGACTTGGATTTGTTTGAAAAAATTGCACAAGCATTATTTTAAAAATAATGATAATTTTTGAGACACGTATATTTGAAAATTAACAAAGTCTAGAATGCAATTATATCTTTTTGACAACAAATGGGAGACACCCTATATCTTGTAATTTAAATACAATGACACCTTTGTTCCTTTCTATTTCAAATAAACACGATTATATTTTTTTATTTTTTTATTTTAAGACAAATATATTTTCGCATAATATAAGAATCACTTGGAAGATCACGAGCCACCAGGTAGAAAGTAATGTCCAGCGTCGTATCCGACAATTAATTTAATATAAACGCACGAAAAAAGATGTTCCTCCAATATTTATATCGATGATTTCGACTTTCGCGCGCGTTATACACTGTGGCGAAAAAAAATCACGTGTCGTCACTCGGAGATTCGCTTTGACACGATGCCAAATACCGTGAAAGAATCGGGGAACGAAAGAATCACCTGCAACAACTATTCAAGAATGACCCGATAGTGGCCACTGCCTTCCATCGTCTATTCCCTCTCCCGTCTTCCTCTAATTATCCACATGACTGATAGCGAAACGAAACGGCACTAACAAAGATTCCTTCTTTAAACGTTCTTTAAACGTCCTTTTAAATGTTAAAAGGAGAAACACATACTAAAATTTTCCAAAAGGATGAATTATGTATCATCATGATTTTACTTTCCATTTAATTTGCATGTGTTCGCGAAAATGCATGTTAATTTAATCATAATATCAATAATATAATTTTCTAGTTCTAGCAAAAATTACGCAATATACAATTGCTTTCTCAATTATAAAAAAAATTGTATTTAAATGATGGAATATTTAATTCTAAAATTTATTATGAAATTTACTTTTAATCAATTTGTTTAAATTATTTAAATATATTTATATTTTAGTTTAAATTTTATTTTAATAAATTTGAAATTTTTAAAAATTTTATTTTATTAATTTATTATTTTATAATTATATAAGTTTATTTCCATCATTATAATTGAACTGCAATTCCGTTTATCAAAATTATTAACTTTTTATATAGTATATGTTTTTATATTAAATTTATCAATATTTTCATATAAAATCAACAAAGATATTATAATCTAGAATATCAAATTTCTGTTATAATCAATCATTTGATCGCGAATTTTCAAAAGAGATTTATTCAATATTTTATAATTCAATTATAAGAAAGTCTTAAAAGTTTCCAGAGAAATTATTAAAAGTTTGCAGATAAAAGATCGATATTAGATGTGTTTATACGATTTAAAAACCTCAAGCGTTCGTTCAATCGTAAATAAATTACTGAAATGCAATTTTAAGAATTAATCGGTGCAAGATCAGGTTTAAGCAATAACAGAGCTTCGACGATAAAATTCCAATATTTGATCTAATCTAATCTCGAAATTCACATTTTTCTGTCTAGACGCGCACGTAACAAATTATTGCAAAAAATCTTGATAAAAATATCCGTAACTTTTCCAGCATTGCATTAAAATCGTCGTTGTAAGGTTGTCCGATCATATAACATTCTTCGCATGCGATTATATGTTATCGCGGATTTATGGCGCGCATTACTGTTATTAATCATTGTATTAATCTTTCAACCGAGAGTCGATCGATTCTCAAAAGGACATATAAAATCGGAAAATATCGATTAATTTTATCTCGCATATCTATAAATTTACTCACACAATTCTATATACATAGTTTTATCATATAATGTATATCGTAATTTTTTTTTCCATTCATCTTTATACTGAGAAAAAAATTGCAAACTTGATTAAATATTTCCAACTAATTATTTCGAACTTATGATTTTTTTAATTGAAATATTTAAGTATTTAAATTAATTAAATTATTAGTAATTAAATTATTTTAATATTTAAATTAAATACGACATATTGAATCTAATATCTATTTAATTTAAATATAAAATATTTAAATACTTAACAATTTCAATTAAAAAATAATAATTAATTGAAAATATTTAGTTAAGTTTGTCATTTTTTTTCAGTGTAAATGCATATAGAATTCTCTCTCTCTCTCTCTCTCTCTCTCTCTCTCTCTCTCTCTCTCTCTCTCTCTTTCTCTCTGTTAGGCTTAATATATCCAATACGAAAATATTTATTGAATATGAATCTAGCGAATGTTGAAAGGCGTATGACATCTGATGTTCATGAGGGAGCAGAAACAGAAAGAGAAAAGAAAAAGACGTACAAAAAAGATGTGCATTATTAATGATCTTTCCAGAGCTGAGATCGATAATTAAACTCCGTCCGTCTCGTGAACTCTCGGTCCTTCTTTTTCGACAGAGGCGAGAAATCGACCTGAGTCATTGATATTCGGTCGTGAACCTCCAGTTCGATGAGTAATTTCCCTCACCTTGGCAAATGCTTTGATGAAGAGGCATCGCGAATGTGTGCATGGATTCCCAATACATGTATATCGCGGCGAACCACAGTCGTCCTTCGTTCTGGTCGTGTCATCGTTATGACGGGAGGGAATTATCAATGCATGTGGCGTACAAAGAGGCCCATTGTCGGTCGCTGTCAAAAATGTTGCCTTCGTAAACAACGAATGTAAACGTCTCTCGCGCCTCTCGTGTCCGCGCTTCGATTTTCAGTCAATTTTTTCCTACACGATGAGTCACCCAGAGTACTTAAAAAGAAACTAGAAAAATATACGTAAGGAGAACAGTCCAGATAAGAATGTTGTATTAATATTACGTGACTCGTGCTGTGCTATTTTTCGGTCTCTTGTGAATAAATATATATATATATATATATATATATATATATATATATATATAGGGTGTCCGTAAAAAAACCGGACTTTTTTTAATGACAGATCGTTCGGCCGCCATTTTCGAAGTCGATCTTTTTTCTCAGTCAATTCCTCTGTAGCAGAGCTCCGATTAGCGTGAGTTAACGCAATGTTTTTTTATTTGGATAACCCGGTAGAATCGATCGTGCGCCGCGCGTGTGCACACAATTCGCGCGAAACGGAAAGTCGTCCCGCTGCATTTTTCTGCACCCGCTTGTAAGCTGAATCGGGGACGCTGACGTAATTGTGCGATGAGTCAAGGGGAGGAAAGGGAGGACTCGCGGAGAGAAATACTTGGAGAATAAAAAAATTGCGAGACGTTTTAACGAGAGGCCGTACACACGTCACGTGACGTCGTTCTCTAAGAATACGCACGAGGGATGCAGCGAAGGATTCCTAACGTCGTAAATGTCAAGTGTGCATCAAGCTACCAAAGAATGCCGAGGAAATCTTTCTGATTGATTCG